TTGGTGCCACCCAGACCCCAGCGAATGTTACTGCAGATCAGTGTCAATTTTAGAGCTACTGAGCTACAGGACAGACAAAACACGATTTATTGGTACCCCCCAGGTTTCCTACATCTACCTGACTGCTATTTGTGCACTACAGAGACCCAGATAAAGTTTTCCACCTCAAAACTTGGCCAATGAAAACATTCAATTATTGTTCCATGCACAGCACAGTTGTTACCACCACAGTCCAAATCAGTATTAGATTTTTGTTACTATTTGTAGTACCCTATAATCTCCACGGCATTTGGCTCACCTCTCATCCTTATTTCATGAGGTTAGTGAAGTCCATTGCTGCTTAAACAAATTTATTTAGGCAGTTAACTGTTGTCTTTTGCTGAAAGTCATAGTGGCAACTTAATCCTACGTTCTGTGTATAACCACCGCTGGGGAAACATCCTCTTTTCTATTTAGTATTTTTATTAAATATTAACCATTCATTTTCCACTAGCTCAAAAAGCATACTACAGGTACCAAGCCTCTTACTATGCTCCTTCTTCAGGTTTGGTGGGCCTTTATGAACATCCATCCTCCACCTTGCAATGCAAAAGGAATCAAAAAGGGCCTTGCTTAGATTCAACAGGAACAAAGTGCTAAGGCACATATTGCGTTATCAGATTCCTACCCCAATTTCAGCTGCCTGCTTAGGATGACAGAAGAGAGTTATTAGAAAGCCCCAAACACAGATGCAGTCTCCTCTTCTGAATGATTCACACAATTCTGGCAACTCCAAGGTAGATACCATACTTCACTTAAACTCGCTGGTTTACTACAATCTGCATTTTTGTTTCCACAGCACAGATCAAGCAAATCACACAAACGAACACGCTGCAGATGAAAGGGGGGAGGATCAATACCTTCCTGCCCTCCTCTTTAAGCAGCCAGAGGAGAATCTCTACTTCAGGCCTTCACAGTTACATAAAAGAGCAGTCTACAGCTGATGATCAGTCCCTGCCAATTAGCTACTGTACACACTGAAATGACTCACGGAAAGTTTGTCACCCTCCCACCTGCCTTCCTGAACTTAGTTTTGAAAGACCAGCTTGTGAAGGCACAGATGATTAGGATCCCTTAAGAGCCAGAGAGAAACAACTTGTCCCTCCTGATATTGTTACACGAGGCACCTCCACAGTTTGTATTTTTTTTTTGTAATAGGAAGTAGAATATCAAGTGCTTAAATAATACATTTTTATTTTGCTTCGCTTGCTGTCAACAGAACTGCTTGCAGAAAAGCTAGAGATGGCTACAAACATCACTTTAGTACACTTCAATTAAAGAAATTACAGAATTACAGAACTCATCTTGGTTTCAGTGCTATTAAAGCAGCATTTAGGAGTAATACTCTGTCACTTGCAGAACAAAGTTTGTGTTGATTTGAGCTCTACCTCAACTGCATGAGGGACCTTGAACGTACCTTTGTGGATGCTGAGTGCCAGCAGAAATACCTATCATAGTATTATCAGGTGTTTTGAACTGTGTGCCTGCAGCTGAGCTTACTTCCTTCATTCCATCAGAATTAGTAAAGGCTGCTCCAAAGTATTTTTCTAGAGACTTAACATGCAGAGTTGATTAGAAATCAGCAGCTTTGTACTCTACAGAAAGTACTTTTATTAGCAAAAAAAAACCACCACATCATCATTCCCCTGTACCCAAGAGGACATCCAGAAATTGCATTACTTCTAGTCATTACTTTAGTCTTCTCTTAGGTCCTGTGGTATTACAAATCCTCAAGGAATTCTACAGCCATTTAAAGAACATTTTTCCTGAAAGGAGGGGGTTGTTACTGTATTGTTTAATAATAGATTTAAAAGCCTACAACAAGATTACACAGTTAAGAAACGGCACACAATTTCACAAAAGCAGATTTTTTCCTCTCTAGTTTGAAGTGCAAGATGGAAGTTCTTTGAATTTCTCTGCCAAAAAAAAAAAGCTATCACAGAGGCTGACAAGAGTTATGAAAGAATCATCCTGTTTTAAACTTAATTCCGAAAGGAATGCATTTACTGTGATTCAGCCACTGGCCAAGTTAAAATGCTGCTGTTTCCTTTAGTTTGGAAATTACAATCCCTATCCCATGTACGAGAACACATGAAGGAATTAATCGTTATCCTTGTGCTGCAGAGCAGAGAAATAAGGTGAGCGGCCAGCAGTCACTCCACAGATAAAATGAAAAAGCATCAAGGCAGGTGAGGATGGCTCTGGCTTAGAGGTGAGAGCCAAGCAGCAACTTGGCACCTTACTGTTCCTTCCCACCATGTTTCAATCTTAAAACCCTACCTGAAAAGCTAAAGCACAACATTCTACACACAAACTAACCAGTTGCCTTGCAAGGAAACCTTTAGAGAAAAAAAAGTGTTATTCAAAATGCAATTCTGAGTAGACTAAGTGCTTAATGTAAATCCCCCACTCGTTTTTCAGTTGCTCACCAAAAAAAGACCCCGCTGTAATGACGAGGCACTGTGTGTTCCCCAGTCAAACCTTATTCATTTCAAAACAAAAGAACAGCGTGCAAGCGATCTGAAGACATCAGGAAAGTACAGTAATGCAAAATCCTATCCAAGTTGGTGGCTTTCCACCTCTATCTTACTGCTGAAATTATCTCCAGAGAACAGGTAGTGGAGAAAGAACTACTGCTAGTATTTTGCTGCACTCTCAGCCACGCTGTACATACAAAATCTGTAAAAACAACTCCAGAAAGCAGTGTCCTTGCAGAAGCTGCAGATAAGGCTGCAGAGAATGCAGAAAGTAAAGTATGCCAGGAGCCTTCGCACAACACATTTGACAGCCTCGCATTTTAGTGAGGCAGCGGAAAAAAACATTCTTTTTTTACTATTATTTTCCCCTATGAAACTCCTAGGGGACACCTCCTGGGGATTTCAACCTTCCAAGTCCATTTGGCAGAATTTGCCTATGATCTGATCGTCGCCAGCACCACTTAAACACTTTTTTCATTCAGGACGCCAGTCAGATTTCCCAAAAATATGACTGTTAGGCGAAAGCTCCCCCTGCAAGGCAGCAGGAGGCTGGCGGAGGCGGGTGGGACCCGCACCCCGAGGACTCACAGGGCAGGGACTCCAGGCGAGCTGTGGCCTAGGAGCAGCTTTCGGAAGCCAGCCCCAGCAGCTGCCCCTGGGGAAGTACCTGCGGGGCACAGCGCCGGAGAGGAACTGAAAGCGAGACCTCACACAGCCCGTTTGCATCGGGCCCAAACGGGCGAGGAACCGCGTTTAAAGCCCTCTGGGTGCGCTGCAAGCCCGAGGAGAGGGCAGGGAGGCCCCGGCCTGCTCCACAACCCCTCCACAGGCCTGGAGGAGCTGGGGCTGCCCCTCAAGCAGCCCCCCCCGCCCCCCAGCTTCCCAGCGGGTACCAGCACACCCTGCCCCTTCACCCTACGGCAGCAGGATAAAAAATAAAATAAAAATAAACCCTTTTCTGTGAGAAACCCCCCCCCCCAGGGCGCTACCTGTTGTTGCGGACGCTGCTCAGGACGCACAGCACCAGCTCCAGGTATGTCCGCAGCAGGTCCAGCCAGCGGGGGCACAGCGGCGGCGGCGCCTCCCCGGCCCCCCCCGCCTCCGCCGCCGAGGCCGCCGCCGCCGCCACCGGGCCCTCGCAGCCTCCCCCCCCGGCCGCCCCCCCCGTCACGGCAGCCGCGGGGGAGGGGCAGGCGCTGGGGTAGTTGTCGGCGGCGAACTGGACGCGGAGCTCGCGGACGAACCAGCCGCACTTGCGCATGAGGAACTCGAGGCGCGGGCGCTCGGCCGGCGAGACGCGGAGGCTGAGGCGGAGGCGCGGCCAGAGGGCCGGGTAGAAGAGGCACTCCCGCCAGTGCGAGCAGGCGGCCGAGGCCCGCAGCCGGTCGGGGCCGGCCAGGAAGGAGAAGATGTGCACCACCAGCTCGCTGGGCAGCGAGCCGGCGCCCACCGCCTCCCCGCACACCGACATGCCTGCAGCCGGCACGGGCCCTGCTGCGGCTGCGGCGGCGGCCACGGGCGGCGGTGGCGGCGGCCCCGGCCTGGCCTCGGGCTCCTGCGACAAAAACAACAACATCAATGACAAGGCGCAGGGGGCGGGCGCCCGCCGGGACGCGGCTCTGCCGGCACGCACCACGCCGAGATGAGGAGGGGGGGGGGAAACAAGAGGAGGGTCCGGCCCGGCCGCGCTTTGTGGCTGCGGGGAGGGATCGGGGAGCCCCCCCCCCCGCGGGCGCGGAATGGAACGCGCCGCCGTTCGAATGGCGGGCGGGGCCGGCCCAACGGCCTGCGCGGTGAGGGGAGGGGAGCGGGGGGGGGGGGGGAGGTAACCCCTCCCTGCCCGGCTGCCTCACAGCCCCGCCGGCAGCAGAAGTGAAACAGAGAATACATACATAAATAAATAAATAAATAAATAAAACAGCTTCGTTTCCATTTCCTCAAGGAAGGATCCCAGCGGGGCAGCTGGTACTGAGGGACTGGAAGCAGGCGAGGTGCAGGGGATGAAACCTCCGAAGCAGCTGAACTCAGCTGGCCTGGGAGGATGCAAATGAAGGGAACCTGTGCTCCCACACGTCTCCCTGTTTTAATACCTGCTCAACGATTCCCCGCTGCTGAGCTCATGGCGAGTCAGCGCGCTTTGGAGCCTGCCCGGTGTGTTGATGTAACACAGCCAGGCTTTGCGGCTCCCTGCCCTGGGCTCGCTGAGGTGACACGGCGAGAAACCGACCCGTGAAGCTCCAGCCCACTGGGGTCGCGTTAAAGACTCGGAGCTGCAGGTTCACTTTTGTAGGCTTGTGTGAACGAACGGGCTGAAGCTTCAGCTCGTCGCAGCTGAGGGCTGGGTGTGATGAACGCCTCACGAGTGGCTGCGTGAGGCCCCTGAATCGGTCATTCCGCATGGCCATGAGGCACCAGCTCTCTGGCTGCCGGTTCGGGGCGTTACAGCGGTTCCCTGAGCGCAGAGGGACGGATAAACCCTAAAAAAAGCCTCCTGGCAGCGGCTCGCAGGCCCCGGCCCCCCCTCGAGCACCGCCCCGGGGCCGGGGGCCGGGCCGGGCGGGGGCCGCCCCCTTCTCCCCGCTCCTCGGCCCCTTCCGGGCGGCGGCCGCGTCACATCCGCGCGGCGGAGATGCCGGTAAGGCCGGGGGGGGCCGGGGGCTCCGCTGGGACCGGGGGGGAGCCACAGGACAGGACGGGGCGGGGGGGGGCGGCCCCGCTAGGCCCCGGCTGCCCCGCACAGGGCTGCCCCCGGGGCTCGGCGCCGCCATGCCGGGAGCCGCCCGTTGCCCGGCCCGAGGGGGGGGGGGGCTGCAGGGGCCCGGCCCGGGTCGCCCGTTATCTCGGGAGGGGTGCTCGGTGCCTTTGTGGTAAGGGCTGGGAGAAGTTCGCCAGGGAACTCCTCAGCGGCAGGGCAGGGGAAGCAGAGGCTCCCCGCTGACAGGCTCGGTGCCTGCGGTTACCTTTCAGCAGCCATTTGGGTAACCCCGCTGGGGACGCAGCCTCCCCCCCCCCCACCCCCCTTGCACACTGTGTGATTTTTTCAGTCGATTCCATAAGTTTGCAGGTAAACGCTGCATTTTCCTCACTGAAAAGTACATATTGCAAAGAAAAGGTGGGAAATAGCCTCTGAAAATGAGTTTCACGCTGTTAGGATGGTGTTTTGCTGACTCAGTAACAACAGAAATGCAGGAACTCGCATGAGTTTCCCCAGTACTTCAAGGTACATTCTGCAGTTATGTGCAACACCTGCTGACTTTTTTTTTTTGGTTCTTACCTCTACATTCGTGTTGTTTTATCATTTTAGGTTAAACTGAGTATTTGCACAACACAGCTTCATGCAGGAAGACCACCATACAGTCGTACGCTTAGGAAAATATGAGAATAAGCAGGGAGTGTTCTCTCTGAATTAAAAAACAAAACAATCTGTGCCTTGCTGAGGACAGCTGCAGGAATCGGACACTTGAATCAATGTTATCGGATGAGTTAGAATCCAAACCAGAGGTGAGCAATTATCAAGTGGGTTTGGTTCCCAGAGAAGTCTATGGGCAACAGCTAGGAAAAAGTTTAGTGAGACTACTCAGTTCGCTGCCTGGATAGTAATTCTCAGTGTTGTTTTTATTCAGTGATGTTTTCTAACACCATTTGAATGGTAAAAAATTAAAGATTATTGCAGGCTTTCCTCCTTCCTCTCAATTTCAGCCAATACTGTTGCCTATTCTCAGGTTACATTTTTTTTTCAGTATTACAATGTTTTTTTTCTGTTACAAGAATAAAATAAATTACTGTACTCACTATTTCTTTCCCTCAAACCAAATTGACTTTATTCAGTTTTGGGGAGTCTGCATTATTTTGTTTACGTCAGCCAGTTCTGTTTTTTGAAGTCCTCATGTTTCCACTGAGGAGCTGGCAAGAAGCAGTGGAGGGTTGCACCCAGGGGATCCTGGTTGCTCAGTGTGAGGCTGCTGTCCCCCAGGTTCAGCCAGCACCATGCCTGAGCAGGAATGGCAATAACAAATGTATGTGCACATGAATGTGCACAGTGCACACAGCTGGCCACAAAGAAATACATACGCAACTGAGGTACCTTTAATAGCTAAGCACTAACAGCATAAACAACACAGAAGGTCTTTCTTGTAGGTTAATCAGGCTTAAAGTTTGTTAGCAGAACACGTCTGTACTCTCGGTCAACTTGCACACATAGTCACAGATGTCTTCAGCCTCTGCCAGGCCTGAAGTTCTGATAACTGTGCCAGACCCACAGCTTTTTAGCCAGCTTCTGTCTGGGATCTTGAGTCTTTCTAGACTGCTGTTTCCTCCTATTCACATTAGTTGGCTGAAAGTTCACTAGCAGAACACTCTCTTGCAGGGGAAATATCAGGAAGAGTGTTTAGTAAGTAGATAGGAGGAAATTCAGCAGGCTAACATAGAATTGGATTCTCTTATCTTCCCCTTGCCCACAGTTCTTCCTCCACACACCTACCTTGATTCCGCCTTTGATCCTCCCTCTGAACATTGCATAATAACTTGTTTTACACATCTTGTTCTCCCTGTGGCATCCTATCCGTTTGGTCTCTCCTCTGAGACCTGTTCAGATAACCTAGTAGGCCTGTTTTCGTACAAGTTTCTTACATTTCACTTGAGCAGCGGCCCATTGATCAGTATCTGACTTCTAGTCTTTGTTACTCTTTATCTGTAATTTGCTAGATACAAGTCTGCAGTTTGTTACATTCAACACAAAGGTGTCTTAAATTTATTGCTTCTCCCATTCCTCTCCTTTGTCTTTTAGGCTGAATAGCCATTAACCAGCTATCTTTATACTTTAAAAGTGCAGATTTAAAAGTGCAGAGGACTGTATCACTCTCTTTGCTTGCTTTTATTCTTCTCAGCTTTACCTCTTCTGAAGGCTGTGGTCCTAGAGCAGATGACTTAGTACTGCTTTGAAATCAGCTTTAGGGAAGTTCGCAGGTGGAAATAGAACTGGTTTTGTCAAGTCTTCTTTCATTCTTCAGTCCACAAGCAATGTAGCATGTATCTTAAACTGCTATTTTAAAGAAAATGACGATTGTATCATTATATTATATATGCTGGTAACTCATCACAGCCTAAATAACATAGTAAGGCATTTCCTTCTTAATAAAGTCTTTCCAATTACACCATTCAGAAAGAGCTGCAAGCTCACAGTAGCACTGTGTAGTCTCAGCTTGGTGGGGCACAAGGAGTTTTTTTCCCTTGCCTTGTGGTTGAATTCACAGAAACTGTCGTTGAATTTTCTAAATGATAAGGTGGGAGAACTTTATGACCTCAGTCTATGAGGGGGTGGATTCCCTTAGATTATTTCTGACAAACAGGGGATGGAATATTTGGAATGCTTGTTCCCGTGTTCCTCAAATATGAGCAGGCATGTCTTTTCCCAGCTTAAGGTATTTATTTATTAGGTGTGTTTACCTAATAGCCCTATTTTCACATAGAGTTGCATTTTTCTTACCGGCAAATGCAAATAAGTCATTTTCCACTAAGAACCGACACGATGCGTGAGAACTACAGTGGTTGCAGAGGCTGTTCTTTCCGTAGATGCTGTCTTCTGATTTATGTTCAATCAAGAGCCTCAATCTTCATCAAAGCTTGATCAATGCTATAAACTGAGATTCATTTTTATTGTGGATTACCAAATCCTATACACACCCTCTTCCTTGTTCTGATTGTGAAAGTTGATTACTAAGTTAATGCCATTTTCCATTCATTTGAGGTGAAACTGGTGAAATTAAATGATACCCCATTTATCTGTCTCCCAAATAGCAGTTCCAGCATCTCTGAAAGTTTGTCATAATTTTGTATCACCTGGTGAACCATGGCACCCTAATTCTCACAGCCACAGATACCTTTCATATAGTCTACTATGCAAGAAAGGTATTCACTAAGATTCAATTGTATTTACACACAAGTAGGATCTAGATTAATATTAACCAAGGCACTACAAATGGATTGCATAAGCTTCTTTGGTACTCTTTTTATCCCTAAAGAAGTCGCTAACATATGAGCAAATGTTTAATGCTTGCACAGAGGTGGATCGTCCTTTGATGAGCAATCACAGAGCTGCTTGGAGAGAGTTTATATGGGCAAATGTATCTGCCTTTTCTTCTGGATTCCCTGCCCCCAAAGCTGCATTGCCTGCATTCCTCAGAGAGCCGATAAGATCTGCATTTTGCATGTTTTAAGCCTTCATTACAATTGCAAATATTTTCAGGCACCTCCACCGCACTGGTCAACTGCAGAACTGCAGCGAGCTTTCTGCTTCCTGAGTAGCATTACCATAGTTAATCAAGTGAACTTAATGTAAATGTTATTTTGACCATTTTGTAGTGGTTCACTGGCTAAATTTAGAGCAGAAGCAGTTTCAATTAAGAACATCATCCCTGCTGTTCTGGGAGTGTTGCCTGGCCCTGTGTGGGAGGCCAGATCTGGACCTTAGTACTGGGCCAGCCTTCCTTCCCTTTCCCTTCCAGCCACCCCCACCACAAACAAAGCAGCTGTCTGCCACTTCTTAGCATATGAATCATCTGATGAAGGGAGTCTGTTGCAGAACATCTGTCCCAGACAGCTATATTTTTGTTTCTCTACTGTGTTTTTTTTTAAGGGCTCCCTAAGAGGGATTCCCAGTTCCTTTAAACAGATTTTTTTTCTCTCCTCTCTGAGGTCAACAACATTATCCAAGCCTTCTTGGTAACATAAGCATTCTGCAATGCTTGTGGTGATAGACCTTGAGATCATTTTTTTAGCCAACAGGGATGACGATTAAGTGACAAGAACCAATAAATATTTTACATTTAGTACATACACTGTCTGTGTTAAAAGACATTTCAGAGTTAAGTGGTGTTTCAGAAAAAGGGAAGGAGAATATATTCAAGAAGGTGTTATGGCAGAGACAAAAATTCTTCCTAGGAAGATGTAGCTGAACTTTGTTCATCCTGTATTGAGAGAATCTATGAGCCTTGGAGGGACAACTCACATCTGTCCCATAAGTTTGAATCTCTACACTGTGGGTGCCCTTTTGCAATTAATATCAAAATTCACATTGAATTCTAAGGGACTTCTTTTGTGCAGATCTCAGCCGTAGAGTAAAGCCACTTTACACCTCTAATGATTTCTTTCATGGTTTGGTAATACTCTTTACATTCAGTTTCCCTTACTATTCCTGTTCAGGTACCCCAAAACATTCTGTGGGTTTGGCTACAAACTAATGCTTTGGACATATTTGCAGAAGAATCAGTCCCCTCTTTTCATAGGTATTCGATATCCACCATCTCAGGAATACTTAAAGCCCATCTGGATCTTGTCAGTGATGCCAGATACTATACAGTTAGAAAATCTGCTGAACTGTTGCATCCAGGAAATTCCTCCCCTGCTGATCCCTGCAGATTAGAGACCCCTAGACTGTTCCAAGGTCTGTTCAGAAGCAAGGCTGAACCTGCTCCCATGCATGCACGCAGACAGGTACAGCTATAAACACTAATATAAGTGGAAGGACAGTACCTTTACAGACATCCACAAACATGAACAGCATTCACGTGGAGCAGGAAGATCACAAACAGCCTAATCCTGTTCCTGCTCATCAGGTAACCAGGCTTGAAATCTGCAAGCATGTCATGCCCTCTTTCAGCTGACATTCATACTCACATTCATGGATCCGTCCAGTCTGTCAGACCTTGAGTCCTTCCAGTATCCATATCCAGCCATTTTATTATATTTTTTAATCCAGTCTCTGCTCAGGATGTTGAGTTTCCGGATTGTGATTTCCTCCAGTTCACAGGCTAGTCTGACTTGAAGTTTATTGGACAAACTCACTTGGAAACTATTTAGGAGCAAGCAGTGTTGGAGACGATGGGATGGGCTACCGTCATGAGGCACAGCAGTGTCCTGACCTGTATGTAGCGTGTTAACATGCAGTCAGCCCCTTTTATCCCCATCCCTTCCCATTCCCCATGGTTGTTCCTCCCCTATCCACCTTGATCCCTCCCTTTCCCCGCCTTTCAACCTTCCCCTAAATATCTCAGTTTTTCCACATTCCCACATCCCCTGCTTAAGGCATCCTGATAACTTTTACCCAGTCTCACAATTCCTCTCCTATCCCATAAGAAGCTTGCTGTTTGTTGTAAGACCTGTGCTGGTAACCCTTAGTAATGTTGTTTTCCTACTTCTTAAAAAGTTTCTGGTTGAGTTTTTTCAAGGTCACGCAAGTCGTTCACACTCAAGCCCATCCATCAGCATCCCATGTGTTCTTTCTTTGTTACTCTCTTATCTGCAGAGTGTTAGAGGATGTGCATCTACATATTTAATTACCTTCCTGTTCCTTATTTGTCCTTTTTGCTGAATAGCCAATTACCAAATATTCTTGCAGTTTCCTGTTTACTTTCATCCGTAAAAACAACTTAAAAGACAGTTAAGAAAGCTGCACATAGTGCTTGCAATGATCCCCCCCCCTCCATATTTCAATTGCTCTAATTATCACAAAAGTTTTTGGTGATTTTGGGGAGGGAGGTTTCTGAAAGTACCTAGCTGTTTAAATGCAAATGTCACTTTTTTATTTTCCCTTTATTATTTGATGTAGAATTGGAAGGGGTATACTTAATGATTGGTTTTAGTTTGAGAGTTGTTTTTTTTTTTTTTTAATTGGGTATTTTAATAACGAGGATGATTCATATGCTTTTATTTTCTTCTGCTTCTTTTGCCCCTGTAATTCTCCATACTGGCTTGTTATTACTTCAGGATGAAAATTAGAAGGATCCCTTTTCTTTTGGGCATCTGTTTTGTGGCTGCTGCCTTTTGCTTCTCCTCAGTGGCTTAATGTTGATGTGTGGGAGTGGAGGCTTTAAAGCAAAGCTTTCCTATTGTAGGAGGAAAAGTTCTATCCAAGACCATCTGTATAAAAATAGAAGAGTCCATAAAATTTGTATTTCATGGTAGAATAGAGAGCTGCTGGGATCAAGGAGAGCTTTTAAATTAAAGACAGCTCCATAATTTAGAACCATTTTGCTGCTTATAGGTTTTAGTTTAGCTTCTTCTTGTTGATGTATTTTGCTACTCTTATTTCCTTTCTCTTTTTTTCTCTCCACACTGTATTTTGTCTTAAACTGGAATGCAGGCTCTTCAGGGTTAGACTCTTACCTCCTACATATTTTCTGACAACACAAGACTAGCTCCCTCTTCTGACTGGGGCTTGTGGTTAATCTTATAGTATATCTAATGGGAGAAAAAAAAAAAACAAACCATTAATGTTTCAAAGTGCAGTCTGGCTCATGACCTGGTTCCTTGTGGCTTACCACCATCTGGATGACCTCAAGGTTTAATATTTACCTTTGCAGTTGATGCTGAAGACAGGTTGCTGCTAAGGGAGGTGAGCTGGGAGCAGGGGCTGACTCAGCCCCTCACTGACCAGGGCACGTTCCTGAGCACCCAAATACAGCAGGCAGAGCTGGGTACTGGTAGCAGGGCCCATCGACAGGCCCAGGTAGGGCAAAGCAGTGAACCTGGTCCAGCAGCCATCCAGGGAGCGTGGCCTGAAGCAACAAAAGATGGGGCTGAAGCAACTGCTGTAGTATTGGTGGGAGTCCATCCAGAAGGAAAAGACACAGCTGGAGACACATAAACTTACAGCAGGGCTCAAGAAGCAAGTAGGAGCCCAGGCTGGGCTTAAATAGGCCCATGGGCAGAGGGTGGGGGGAGTGCTCCAGGTGAGACCACTCAGGGCAATTAAGGCCCTGGCAGCAGTATTTCTTAGAGGTAAAGCTGAGGAAGCCTCAGTATTTCCAGTGTTTTTATGTGAGGAAATAAGCATAGAGAAATCAGAGCCCAAAGGAGCTTGTTTTCTTTGTAGTTTCTTAGATGGAACTCACTTGATCCTGGTGTAGGAGAGGCTCAAAAAGCTGGTATTTAACATAGAAATAATTTGGAATGGGGTGCCAGTTTTTCTGAAAGTTAAACGCTAAGATAATCACAACACGCTTGTACAAAATAATGATCAAATGACTAGCAACTCTTTTTTTTAAGCAAGTAGCGTTGTGATTAAGTGAACAGAGCGTGCCTTTTTTTTAATTTACTTTCTTTTGAACCATCTCCCTGCACAGACAATTCCATCTGGGCTCTGCATGAATACCTGTTAAAATGTGCAACAATGAGGGTAGTAGCTTTTGAATACCTAATTCGGTGCAGTTTCCTTCTAAATTTCTCTGACTTCTAGCTCCATTTTGAATTTCAGGTTCCTTTTTTATAACTCAAAATTTTCACGAGTTAGCCAGAATTAATTTTTACATTGGCAGAGCTGGTGATGTTAATAGCAGGACTGAATGACCTGCACATTCCTCACCTCCTGGGCCCATTAGGATGAGAGCTGCTCTTTCTTTCTGGTCTCAGATCCAGCCAGTAATGAGGTTTAGCACAGTTTTCAATAGGTACACACACAAACAGATTACCACAGGTAGGATGCTGGCACCTTCCCACATAAACACAGATGGCAGAAGTAGCCTGATCCTGTTTCTAAGGATTGCTGCTCAGGGAAAACCTTTCATGGGTGGCTCCAATATCTGGCCCCACACCTCTCATACTACTTGCCAATTAGTCTGGCTTGGCATTCATTATTATATCACACACACACACACACACTGGGGAGCGTGATCCCATAGGAGATGATTGTGAACAATTTCATGAGCAGACAGAACATACCATGATGGTTAGGCCCAGAGTTTGGCCAGACCAGTGAGTTGACCAGCTTCCTGCTTACATGTAATGGCCTTCTTTTATCCCCCTTTCTCCATATTCCTGTGTTTGTTCTGCCCTTATCCACCTTGATCCCCTCCTTTTCCTGCCTTTGGCCTTTTCCTTAAACAATTCATGACAAGTCCCCAAATTTCTTGTCAGGAAGTGCAACCCAAAGTCCTGTACCCCTTTATTCAACAGCCCCTTTTACTTTGTATAGTATTCTGGAGTTTCTTCTGGTGAATCCCCGTAGTGGTTGGGTTTCACACTAAGGGCAATGGCTTTAATTGTTCACCTTTGATGGTTTTAGCTGTAACTGATTTGAACAGATGATGCTGTTTGCCCTCCCCCACCCCTTGTCATCCCAGCCTTGTTCCTCTGATCATTATCTGCCAGTTTTGAATAGTCATTAGCTAGATATCTTTGTGACTTTTCTCTTGCTTGCTTTTTTATTTAAAAGGCCAACTTTCTTTGCTAAGTGTCTAAAGCCAGTAATTTAAAAAAAATACCTATATCAAAGGCTGAGCATGGAAAACACTTACCTGGAAGGTGAGAGTGCAGTAAAGTATTGTGTGATAAAAGATGAATTAAAAAAGAACATATGAGATAGCATAAGTAGCCTTCAGTATAGTCTTCAATGATCAAGAACTTGTTTATTTGATAAAGAAATGAGACTTTAATCTATATTTCTCAAATGACAAATAAAATTAATACATTCTTTGTCATTAATGTAAGCTGAAAAGCTTCCACTTTGATGGTAATAGTTGTCTTTTGCATCTCCTACAAGAGACGGGTAGAGGCTACTCCTACAAGGAGGGGAGAATGAAGTAGGTTTAGTACCTTCTTAATGATGTATGCTACTCTTCATCTAATCTTCTACATCTCTTTCCAGCTGCTGGTTCAGTTTGTTCAGAATACTTCTATTCCACTGGGGCAAGGGCTGGTGGAATCAGAGCCAAAAGACATCACCTGCCTTTCTCTCCTTCCTGTTACTGAGACCTCAGAATGCAACAGACTCATGTTGCCAGGTAAAGCCTATGCAGCAGATGTCTGTGAAGATGCTGTTTATAAAGGTGTTTTTATTTCTGCGCTGTTGTGTGTCATCCCTGCCTCTTGCTGATAATGCATTCCAACAAGTTCAGAAGGATGAATGAAATTTTTCTAATTAACAGTGAAGTCTGATTAGTTAGAAATTTCATTCTTCACCCAAAATCTGTAAAGTTTTTGTTTTGTTTTGTTTTGTTTTTCTAGGAAAATAATTCATAGGTATCTATTCATCATAGTATTTTCATACTTTTTATTTTCTTTGGTTTGACTTTCTTCGCTAGATGATGAAAGAGATCTCACTTCTCCAAGTCACACTAATTCTTCCAAAGATGTTTCTTCATCTGCTGTCTTGAGGAGCCTGCAGGTAAATGTGGGTCCTGATGGAGAGGAAACAAGGGCACAGAATGTACAGAAACCATCTGAACTTCTGTCATCATCAGAGACTTCCAGTTTATTGCAAGACCTCCAGCCCAGTGACAGCACTTCATTTATTCTTCTCAACCTAACAAGAGCAGGTAATTCTCCTTCTGTTTGTCACCTGGCTGGATATGTCTCAGACAACAGAATGCAGGAGATACAAGTACATCTCTGTCCCTGCTGCTTATGAAGGGAAAAGATCACGAAATTTGCTGGGCATTATTGGATATTTCAGCATCATTTAATCATCAACAGCTTCCTCCAATGCAGAGGTCAGTGAAGACTTTTTCAGTGCAGCTATTACATCTGTGCCATGAATGCTAGCCTTTGGGAAGCAAAAGATCTTTCCATCTTCCCCCTATTACATTATAATTCTTTTTCATGAGCTTGTCTTTTTTTCTAGGGCTGGGCTCCCCAGCAGAGCACTTGGTATTTGTTCAAGATGAAGCAGAAGATTCTGGGAACGACTTTCTCTCTCATGATAGCACAGACAGCAGTACACCGTGGTTCCTACGAGTGCAAGAATTGGCCCATGACAGTTTAATTGCTGCCACTCGGGCACAGCTCGCTAAGAATGCCAAAGCAAGCAATAATGGTAGGATATTTCCTGATTCTGTCTCAAAAGTTGAGTGTTCCACACAAGACCTCTAGTTTCATCTTGTTTCTTCCTTTGTCTTTCACTCTCTCTTGCTCTTAAGCTATTCTGATGTGTCCTCAAACTGTCAGTGACAGAGAGTTATACAGAACAATCACGTAATTTTTCTGTAACATACGTAGGCTCCTCAGTTTTTCTCAGGGAATGAGCTTCAGTGGAGCCAGCAGTCCCCTTGTTCTCTGGTACATGTAAAGCATATCTTCTTCTGACTGCAGTTGTTTGTATTTCAACTTTCATTTTCACTTTCAAGTGTATTTTTAATGCATACTGTAACTCAAGATTTCTTCTTAGCTCCACTTGGTTTCAAGATCAGCTTTCTGAAGAATACATAATTGGACTTAGGCACATACTTTGTGACAACTATTTCAATAAAGAATTGCAAACAAGTGCAGTATCTCTTTTTTTTACCTAAGGTGTTTTTAAAAGTATTTATCCTGGCTGCTACTTGGACGGTTGCTATTGACACAGAGACTATTTTTACATTTTCTGATACATTGGCTTTCTATTCTTCTTGTGATAAGCCTTGTCTGGTAGTGGCTGGTCTGATATGGATAACTTGCTGGCAATAGTTTATGGGCCTGGTAAGGTTTGCAAATCTCTGATCCCTGTTGTGGGCTGGGTAGCTGTGTGTAGGACATAGTAAACAATCAGTAACCAGGCACTTATCTACTTTATAGTCCTGTATCACATACGATGCTGCTTTTATCTATTAAATTTGACACATCTTAGTAATACGGAACTTTTTCAGATTTTGGTGGGCTTTTTCTTCCAGGTGAAAATGTTCATCTTTGCTCAGGAGATGGGCAACCAAAAGACTCTAGCCCCATTCCTCATTTATCTCGTGTGGAAAGGAAGCTGAAGTGCACAGTTGAAGGCTGCAATCGGACATTTGTATGGCCAGCTCACTTCAAATATCATCTGAAAACACACCGGTGAGCAGAATAAAGCTATATGTTGTTCTGACTTTGATAAAAACATGCTCTATTTGGGACAGCATTATTTTTTGACATCAGCAAGCTGTGAAAACCTGGTATTACTCTTAGAAATACTAGGCCCTTTGCTTGCCTCAGGTGGATTATGTTGAAACATTTTGGCCAGATTTAGATTATTTTCTCAGGCTCTTGTTAGTGTTGGATTTAGGAATATTTGTATTTTAACAGGTGCTCAGTAAAGACAGTCACTATGTGCATACATTACTCCTATGGTACAGTGAGCATTAGAACATGTGGGATGCCTGTCACATTTTATATATCCATGAACAGAGTTGCTTGTTCTAAAAAAAAAACAAAACGACCATCATCTTTTCTGGCTGAGAAATGATCTGTCAGTAAGGTAGATGAGAAGCTTGAAAACTGGGAAGGACTCCAACAGACATGTGTCCATCATCTTGTCCTGAGGCAGGGCCAGCAGTAATTGCATGTGTTATATGTACACATACAATTATTTTTGAACCTCTAGTGACTGAAAATCTATGGCCTTTGTGTGTAATCTGTTGCACTGCTTTGCTACATCTTTCCAGGTCAATGTACATCTTTTCTAGGCAAGGCAATATGATGCGAAGGTATTACCTGAATTACTTCTTCTGGTGGAAAACCCAAACTCTGGCTATATGGTAGTTCCTTAGGACTAATATAGGTCAATCACTTTGGTTGAATTCCTTCATTTTCAGAAATAATTCATTTTGGATTAAACATTTCTGCTTGTTATTTCATCAAAGATAAAAAAAAGTTGAGTGTTTGTGAAAAATACACTGAAGTAGGTGATTATGAAACAGCTATTTTGTTGCTTTGCAGGAATGACCGCTCCTTCACCTGCCCAGCAGAAGGCTGTGGAAAAAGTTTTTATGTCTTGCAGAGGCTGAAGGTGCACATGAGAACTCACAATGGTGAAAAACCCTTTGTGTGCACGGAGCTGGGCTGTGGGAAACAATTCACAACAGCTGGAAATCTGAAGAACCACCTGCGAATTCACACCGGTGTGTTTTAGACTTCACCTATTTGTGGTCTGCAGTGGTGGGGTCTTTACTGAGGATTAAACCACTCCCTTCTCCGTCCTCCAGCTCTTGAGAATCATATGCTTGTACATTTCTGTCGTTCATTAATGCTCCTTTTTTATCAATTCACATTGATCTGTAGGACAGATTAATCAACAGTTTACCACTTTTTACTATCCTGCATAATTTCATACAGGAACTACTGTATGATGGTGCTGTGCTCCTCTCAGACACATGCTTTGAAGATCCCTCTTCCCACTTTGAATTGTTTGATTGTGGGTGGGGAAAATCTCTCTTTGTTTTGGGAGAAAGTAGACCATTCCTAGTGGAATAGCCAGTGAACACCACTGCTGTAATTGCTTTTATAAAGAAGCTGTTTTAATTTCCTGAGAAGCACAATAACTTAGATGTTTCTTCAGTGTGAAGTCCTGGTAGGCAGTTGTAGCTCTACTGACATCTGGCTGGCTCTGACTACCTTATGTTATCTATGCTGCTTGGAGAATTATAATATTTGGGAAATTTAGGGAGTAAAGAGTACTGTGGAATGAGTATTAAAAATATAGCAGCAAAGTCTAATAAAAAAAGGCAATAGTTAGAAGATAGCATTTTGGCATGCAAACTGTTGTGTTTGTGCTAATGCTAATCTGGGATGTCACCATATATTGGAGCCTGTGTACTCTTAACTCATACTCAGCTTTTTATATTAAATAAAACAAGAACCATAATTTCATAGTGCTATATTTATATACGGTTTGCTCATGCTGTCTCCTGTGCAGAATTTGATTCTGCTATGTCAGTATTTTTAGAGGTTGGTGTACCAGCCAAAGTCTTGACAACTGTATAGAGTGCTTTAGGTGCTTTTGTCCTAGGAAGGTGTTTGAGGGAGCTGCAAAAGTTCTTGCTGAAATGATCAGAAATTTTAGTCTAAGTTAGCAAGGTTGACAGTGAATATTCTAGGGATTTTGCCTGTTTGTTTTTTAAGCCTTGGGGTTAACACACCACTGAAATAAATGGCTCAGTTCAAGCCTCTCAGGACATTGTTAGAGATTCCCTGATGGCCTATGAAGGTTGCGTTAGAGCTGGTTAACATTTCAAAATAACCTTGACAACTGTGAGAGCACAAGGCATCCCTAGTAAAATGAAAAATTATGTGGGCTGCCAACAGCTGTGTATGCTTGCTGCCTTAAACACTACCGTATGCTAGGTACTTTGTAGACACACATGGAAAAAAGTTGCTATTTTAAAGCATTTGCAGTCTAACTAGAACACATGGTTTGGAGGCAGATGTTGGGATGTAGTAAAAAGTGATATATGCCAATAATAAAATTTTGAAAGTGTAATAACAGTAACATAGTTTGTACAGTTTTCTTTTGCACTTAAAGCTCCCAGCCAAAGCACAGATGAAGTAAATAGACCCAGCTGACAGAGACACGATCCTCCATGACAGAGTGTTCTGCAACCAACAGAGCAGTAGCTTCTGGAAGAATAAAAAATAACTTTCTAACCTGCAATTTGTTCATGTGCAATTAAGAGTTTCGTCAGACCAAAGGTGTTAAAAACTGTAGATGTAAATAGATCTAGGGTTTCTTATAGATGGAACTGTGTGCTGTTATTTTTGTCAGTGGTAGTTTTCCTTCCTTCTTTCGAAGTTTTAAGTGCTTCTAATAAGCTAGAACGTACAAATAGCATTTGGAAATCTGCCGTGTGTTTCAGTTCTGTAACACCAATCGATCTGTTGAATGCTACCGCAGATTTAAAGCTGAGAATGAACTCTAGGGAGAGGACTTTTAAAGACAAAATCAGAGTAGAAACACCTGTAAAAACAAGCTTGCTCTGAAATGAGAGCTATGTATATGTTAGACAACAGAAATAGTTCAGGTAGCTTGCTTAATCTGCTATGGACTTGTTGTTACTCTGATACAGTAGAATAGAAAAAGGCTTGAAATCATACTGTTAAATATGGTATATTAAGTTCTTTAGTGGGATGTTGCAAGCAACAGTTAGCTCTAGTTTCATTCAAGACTTTATTAAAAAGGAATTTAGAACAGGTTAAGTATATTACATTGCATTAGTGTAGTCATATTCCAATTTATCATCATGCAGAAAAATGCAAACATAGCTCTGGAGATATAAACAAGTAACAAATTTCAGGCTATGAGAACAAATTGTGCCTCGAATTGCTGTTTCTTCACAGATAAATATAAATGACTGACACATCTCTCACAGATTTTTGCCAAGGTCAGCCTGATCTGAAATAAAGTATAGAATCTGATATGAAGATTCAGTTAATAATACATACAGTTAATGGGATTTTTGGCACCGAAAGGCAGAATGGGAACAGGATCCTGGGAGTTATTGAAGCAGAGAGATGGCTGTTAAGAACTGCATATAAATGATATATCATATTCCAGGCACTTTTGTATTACTCTTTTGGTATTTATGCACTTGGAAAATCTATTTAGAAACAGAGGATCTTTTCTTGCCTTTCAGGTAATGATGATCTAACAATCAAAGAATTTAAGTGTTTCCTCTTAAAAGCTGATGAAGTGAATGCTTTAAAAGACTCAGGAAGCATGTATATTGTTTCTGTTGAACTTTGTTGCATGTAAGGCCAAAAGAGAGAATGGGATAGAGTTCTTCAGGCTGTTCTCAGGGGCTTGGACAATCAGATCAAGTTGTGATCCCAAAATGTAAGAACTTACTTTTTCTTTGTAGGGGAAAAACCCTTTCTGTGTGAGGCACAGGGATGTGGTCGCTCCTTTGCCGAGTACTCCAGCCTTCGGAAACATTTGGTTGTCCACTCAGGTAAGAGTTTTCATCTGACATTCTGTAACCTGTCTGAGAAAATATCTTTACTGTAGGACTTAGATTTGATTTTCTTAAGAAAAAAATCCCTGTTTTCTACAGAATTTCTGGCTATACTGTTTGATAGCTTCCTTTGTGGTACCGGTGGCCTGCACACTTTAATTTTTCTGTTGTTCGTGGTTCTAAATGTTATGTTTCTGACTTCAGATTACAATTTTTAAATTTATTTTTTAAAATTAAGAGTGTTTCTAAGGTATCATAAAGTTGGATATCAGTTTCATATCTTCATTTTCTTATTTAAAAGAGAGAATCTAGCAGCTCTTTACAATCATCAAAATCATTCAGTCTCTCATGAGTGGATTTCTGCCATGGGTAGGGTTGTATTTTTTTTTAAGTACTACTTACTTGTAACCTAATGCCAAAGAGCATTAGATAGGCATTTCACAAGTGTTTCAAAGCTTCTACCTTCTGTTTTGATTGATTGATCTTAAGTATCTTCAGCATGTGATAAATATGGCTTTTTTGAGGAAGGGGAGTAACTTTTGAGGACTTCATGAGTTCTCCATGCTTTTTTTCCCTTCACCTATCTGGCTTCCATGGTGCTAAGCTCACACTTAGGGATTTCATACTTGGTTATAGATGGGGGAAATGATAGACTCTGCCTATCCTCTATGGGAATCCTTCCACAGTGACAAGTTATCATCCAGTGTCTGCTCAGTAATATAAACCAGATATTGCAATTTATGGTTCATCCCTGGTTCCTTGCTTCTTGTCAGTTTGTGTTCTAGGCATAAGACATCAAATATTTCCATGTCACTGAGTAAGAGATTCCAAATAATTTGAACCCTCCTATAAATCAGATCTGAAATGTTATGTTACTCTTCAGACTTGAGGTTTCCAACATCTGGCAATATTGGTATCTAAAACTCTTCTGTTCTGGAGCCTAGGAAACAGGAGTGTTTCTCACTTTTTTTTTCTTTTTTTTTTTTTTTCCATGGATAATTAGCACGAAGGGTGTCAACAGCCATATCAAAACATGGTCATGATTCTTTGGTTGATGAGATTTTCATTCCCAATTTGGTAATTCCTGGGATATTTTTCCCCCTTCTTCTCCAAGGAGTGAAGCCCCATCAGTGCCAAATTTGTGGAAAGACATTTTCCCAGAGTGGCAGCAGAAATGTGCATATGAGGAAACACCACTCCAGAATTGGAACAGCTGGCAGCAGGGAGCGAGAACAGCCAGGTAAGGAGGGGGTTCGTTCACGGTGGGAAGGAAGTACAGGAAGGAAGTAGTGGATGGATGGTCAAAGAGAAGGGAAGAGAGACCAGAAAACAGTAAAGAATAAAAGACTGTTCCTCTTGGAGATGGGGATGGATTGCTCACTCTCCCCTTTCTAGGATAGAAGACAAAGGTCTGTTTCTGTACTGTAGTCAAGGGGCAGATAGGTTTATTATTTTCAAAATCAACATGAATCTGGTATCTTTCTTTTTACATTGTTTGTTTTTTTTTTCCCCTTTGTTATATATTCTTGTTGTAAGAAGCCTGTTTTTTAATGCTGTGTGAATTATTTAAAGAGAAAGCTGAGCCTGCATGAGATCCTGTCATACTAACATTCGAAACAGTACATATAGGAGTTATCATCCATTGGAGCTTCAGATGCCCACAGAGTAGGAATTTATAAAGTAGATGTCTAATAAAGTCTATGTGACTTGGAGGGGGGACAAGGATTGTACCATGTGTTCCAGTGTCCTTACATCATTTTGTTTTACCCTTTTTTTCACAATAGAGTCACTGATGGGCAGCAGTTTGCTGGAAGAATCTACAGTGCATAGTAAGAATCTCATCTCCATGAACTCTCAGCCCAGCCTTGGTGTTGAGTCCCTGCATCTGCCAGACACAGAGTCTATTATTGGAGTGGAGGAGGGTGAGACCAGCTGCTCTTTCTTCCGCCCTCTTATATGTGGTGACTGAAGTGGGATTGATCGTTCCTCCTAGAGACTCATCATGTTGCAGTGGGACAAGTGAGCATTGCTTTAAGTGTGCACTGGAGCAGGTGGGTAAATGGAGAATGAATCCTAAAACTGGAGTTGGAGAAGACCTGCTGGACCAAGTTTCTCTCTTGCAGAGCTTAAAAGGTGAAGTCTGCTGCTTAGATGTCATTTAGCCCATGTTGTGGAACGCCATTTCAAAACTGCTCATGCAGTCCATTCTCCTAAAGCCTAAAGCGTTTGTTTTGCTGGAGCACTTAGAAGTCCAGTTAAGGACCGGGACCTCATTGTGCTAGACACTGTGCAAACACCCAATATCTTGAGGAACAGGCCTTCCATCCTTTACCTTCAGAGACTATATTCTAATACATCTCACTGTCAGAAGCTGACTTAATATCTGAAATAAATGTACTACTTGATATCATTTAATTACATTTGCTGTGTTCTTTTCCAGTTGCTTTTTCCTTGAAAACTTGATTGATATATGAAGCACTATAAATGAGTCTACCATGTAGATGTTTTGACTTTTCGTTAACTTGGAAGACTTTCTTCAGAATTAGCACTACTAAGAATGCAGGAATTTGCTAAGATACTATGCACCTGTTATTGCTCCTATGTGAAGGTAATGCTTTGAGTTTATATTGATCCCCAGCTGAATGTAAAGGTAGTGCTGCTGTTGGTAAAGGTATTGTAATTTAGAGGTTCTTGCAGAAGAACTGCGTGTCTGTGGTTCAGGATCTGATGTAGTTTGGCTATCATTAGTTCATTAGCACCTTAACATGAAGATCCTCTAGTGAGATGTCCTCTTTCAGTTGCCCAGTTGAACAGCCTGTAATTCTTTAACTAAAAACAACAAACATTTTCATATGATGCAAAATTCCAGAACAAAAGTGGGAATTCTTTATTTCCATACCATTTTCGAGGTGTATTAAGAGATTAACTATCAGAGATGTAATAATCCTACTTTCAGAACACTTTGTTTAGCAAGAAAGGTGCCTCATGAGTTTCAGTTATTTGGTTTGATGCTTTTACTTTCTAAGTAGATTTCATCAGAAAGATGAACACTCCAGAAACTGCTGGCTGAGGTGTTTATAGTTAAGGTAGTTATGAGCTTATACAATATGCTTTAACTTTAGTCTTATTGGAATAAGCTTGATAAAGCTGGCTAGCAAGTCAGTTGCTGGTGATGAAAACTGTACACGTTAATGCAGTATACAGAGGATAGGATAATCTTTATATATAGTATCACATCACTTGGATGTGATGACTTTGTGGTTTCAAAAGGAAGAAAACAGTGATATAGTAACTGAATATGGAAGCCATAAAGTACGAACAAAACAAAACAACAAAAAAAGAATACTGTGTGCAACACCTCTGGAAGGGTATGTAAGTTTTGAATGCTAAGCACATTCTGAGCAGGCCTATTAATTCTCATATTGTACCGGACCAAAATTCAACTGTAATGCCAAAATGATCTAAAAAAATGCAGAATGTGACCACATTTCAGTCACCAGGAAGCTAAATTCAGGAGGTGTGAAAACAGCACATGAGGCTTCCTAGGTTTGTCATTAGAAGGCTTCTGGTGGTAGGAGGCTGGGATTATCCAGACTCCAGTACTTGGAAGATACTAATTACTACTCAACCAAGTACAATTTAGTCTCTTGCTGGGATTTTTTTAATGTTCAACTTGCTTTTTTTTTTTTTTTTTCTTGAATTAGTACTTTCCTGTGATGCAGGTACTAGTAAACACAGATCAAAATGTATGCTAATTTCCTCCCACTGCACCACATTTTTTCACACAAACCCAAGTGGACTGTAGACTGGAGACTAATAGCATGGGAGAAATCTTTCCTTCCTTCTTCTTTCAACTTGACAGGGCACAGTGACAATATGATTATATCTCTGCTTTTTTCCATGGGATGCAGGGGAAAGAACAGCCTTTGTGTGCCCTACACAACTAAACCTATGTAGAAACTGGAGTACTGGTAACATCCTTCCTTGAACCTTCCCAGGTTGCTAAGTCTCTACAGGAAAGGAAGTGGCTCTCAAACACTTGGTAATTTCTCTAGTGAAGGACAGTATTTGAATCTGGGATACAGCACTCTGCAGATGTGTTGCGCAGAAAGCTCAACTAGAAAAAGAGAGGAAAAAAAGGAAAAACACAAGCCTACGGTTAGATTTGTCAGGTGCTTGTTTGGGTCAGTAAGGATTGCTGCAACATAACACAGTCAGCTATGTACCAGCATGAACTGATCTCTGTGGAAGCCTAACATAGCAGCCTGAAAAACAGGGACCCAAAATTCTCGGATCTAATGCTGTGTTGTGATTTGAAATGCCATGATCTCAGTTTCATATCTTTAATATGCTAGCTGTTACTGCTACCAGTGTTTCTGATGTGATGATGAAGTGGTGTTGTTATGATGTAAGGAGAAATAGTTAGAGCTACTGAAGATGAAAAACACAACAAGACAACTTCCATTTAAGTGAGGAAACGATTGGTAAAGAAATTGGACAATGCAGAAAAACTGATAACCAGTTTAAAAAATTTTAATCTCAAAGTGCTTTGACACCATGATTCTCAGAAAATGGGTGGAAGCGGTTTGTATTTTTGACACTCATTATCATCCGATACAGGAAGATGATTAATATGTGAACCATACCATTTAAGATATTATACCCAGGCATTTGAGTGGCACATTGACAAGCAATACATTATCTCGCTTACACAGAAGTCCATCTTTGATATCACAGTAATAGTAGAATTAGGACAATAGCAATCCCAAGTGATGCATGGTTTAATTATAACCTTCTCCATACTTTTGGTTGTTGTTTTATTCAGGCCAAATTAATTACCTAAATTGGTAAGAAGTTAAAGCAAAGCTTCAAATTGTGGCTAATGTGAGATATTTTAATATAGAAAGACTATTGCTTTTTCCTAATGGGAGGAAGAAGCAGATATGGTCAGGAGTGAATGAAGAGTTAACAGGCTCGAGAAGAAATTCCCCACAAGTCTTCTCCCAAGGTAGGTCAACTCCTGCTATTTTTGTAGAAATACCTTGTTTAAATTCATTCTACCCCAGTTATGTGTAAACCAAGGCTTAGCACATTGAGAAGGATGCTTCCCTTTCTTTGCACTTCTGCAGCATGAACACAAGCAGCTGACATTAGAGAATGCACCTCTTCAATCTTTCATGTCTACTTTTATCCAGGTGCTTCAACCTTTTTAACTTGGTTTGTCTCATGCAGTCCTTTTAAAGAAGGGGAAATGGCTCACATGAGGAACACTTGTGAAGACTAAGGGAGGCTGCAAGGTTTGCTGGGTTGGACAAAATGTGCTCTAAATGACAGTCAGTCTTTTTTTCCTTTATGAAGTTCTCCCATCTCACTTACCCCAGAGCAATTATTGTCAGCCAAAACCAGAAAGATCCTGAGGATTAACCTGGAGAATCTTGAATTCAAAGAATCAAGAGATGATCCATGGATTCTTCTGTTAGATCTTACGTTGCCTTTTCCTCTCCTCTCTGTTCTTCATGAGGTTCTCCTTCCAGTACAGTGCAGTCGTTCTTTTCACTCTGAGGCTGAGGCACTCTGCAGAAATAGTGATTGTCTAATACTGGAAATGGTTTGCAGTGCTTACTTGCTGCTTGCCCCATGCATAAGAAATAAAGGGCCTGCCCTAGCAGTCATAGAAGTCAAGACAGAGAAACCATGATGCTTAATTAAACAGGAGTAACATTAATGTAATTTTTACTCCACTACATGTAGGAATGCTTCTATGAAAAAGGAAAAGATTTCTGATCAAAGGCAAAAGAGCTCTATTGCATTGTTATTATTACCTGTGAATGTCAGATTCTTCTTCCAGCAAGTCAGTAGCATCTTCTCCTTTTTTCCTTACAAATTCTTCACTTAGCCCAACATGCTGGAGGGTGTGTCTGTAGCGACGCTCTGCTCCTTGACGGGCATCATGCTATGAAATTGAAACTTAAACAGTAAGAATATAGAACTGGGGCTTTCCTGTAAGCCAAGTCAAGTTGTTTTAAAGTTTATGGCTGACACTCCTAATGAAAACAAGAGAACAGCAAAGCCCCTGTCCAGAATTTTTGCTCTTCGTAGGGTACAATATCAAAACTGAATACTAGGAGAATGTCTCCCACATCTTTCAAAGCTTTCAAACCTTTTCCTGCTTCTGTTCTTTTTCACTTTTTTTCTTCTGTTCTCCTGCTTCTACAGCATTCCAGTCTTAATGCAGTAGCACACTTGTGTCTGAATCCTGACTCTGACACTCAGATTGAGAATATGTGCAAAAAGGGGTTGTGAGAAATTCTGGAAGCACGTTTGTTTGTAATTTGTAAGCACTAACCACAGTGGAGTTCAACAAACAGAGCTTGTGAAGTAGCTTCACATCAGCTCATATTCAAGAAGCTGAAAACCAAGCATTCTGGATCCTATATCCTCACTGCCTCTGCATAAACCGTGCAAATTAATGTAGTTTCAAATGAGGTTTTCCAGAGGGAGTGGCTGATTTCTGAAGATTAAGGCATTCTGGATGGAGGACAGAAATCTTGTCTCCAGCTAAGTTCATGCTATCAATACTGGTTAATCTTTACCAACGTGACGAACAGACATGTTACTAAAATTTATCAGACAAATGTGTTCTCTGCTTCCGTTAATTACTCACCTGAACAGAAAGTTTAAGCAAAGAGGATATTGCTATTGAGATATCTTAAATCAGCACATAGCTATATATTGTCAGTATGTCTCTAACCAGGTATCTATCAACTCTGCAAGGAGACAGAACTGAGAGAGAAAACCGAGGGAAATATACTTTATATAAAGTAAAATTTGTATCTACGCTTAAGTGCACTATAGATTTGCAGGTGGTAGGTACTGTGTGACGGTGAGATGTGCTGAATGCAACCACAGGCAGCTGAGCTTGCAGGTGATAAAAGTGACTTAACAATCATTCATGTTTTTCCAGTAGCATGGGAGTTACACAGTAAAAGTGCTCAACTGGAGAGGGTTTTAAGAAAAAAAGTTTAAAACTTCTAGACTGTAGGCTATGGTATTCAGGTGCAAAATAGGCTTTCATATAGTTTCTGGTGTGATAAGGCCTTAATTTTGATCAGACCATATATTTGGATTGCAATAGACATTAAGGATTGGAAAGCTCTACAACCAGTAAGTAAATATAAGTGTTTTTCAAGTCATGGGATGGAGTTTAAGTAACACTCAGGTGGCTGTCCCATGTATTATTTTAAACACAGTCCAGAGACTATACGAGCATTTGCACCCTCTCATCGATGAATAATTTGAGACTAAACTTCTTAATGCCTGTCTTAAATGAAAGACAATGAATCCTGTCACCCAGAAACACTCTGGAACTTTGACCAGTTACCTTGGTGACCTGTTCAAAGAGGTATGGTCTGTTCTTGACTCGCAGCTGCATTTCTTCCAGCTCCTTTCTGTATTCCTTTGTTCTCTCTCTCATATTTTGCCTGAAATGGAAAATTTCCCTGTCTAATACAGGTTCCCTCTGACTGTAGCTGCTCAGGAACCAGGAATTCTTAATAACCATTTTGTCCTTTAAATAGCTCTGGGAATTGTCCTTACTCCAAATACTGGGCAAAACACTGCTGTTGCTAGCAAGCTGTGCACCCTCAGCAAGCTTTACTACTGGAGTGTAAGCAGAGAACCAGTGTTCAAGTTTTGACAAAATCTTGCCTTACATGTTTTATGTGCTTTACCAAAGGAGACGTTTCAGTTGGCTTGTTTGTACAAAATCGTCTCTACCAATGTTAATCTAAAGGAAACTATTCTGTTTGCAAAGAGTAGCGTGGGACTGTGAAGAAACCCAAATGAATGTGGAATAGGTGTGGCAGCCAAAAAAGTCAGGTTAGGAATGAAGGCTCTTAGACCCAGCTCCTCTTAAAAAATCATCTGATAATCCCCAGTTACCAAAGCAAACAGTTATCTCTGTGCAGAAGAGGATACTGACCAGTTCTGTTTCAACTTCTCCTTCAGTGTTTCATCCAGACTTCTGTGCGGATCCAGGGCTTTTGCTCGGCTGTTCACTGACTTACGGATAGCCTGACATTTCTTTTTCTGTTCTTCCAGCCAATAAATTCCTTCTTTGTCTCCTTCCTTTTTGCTTTCTTGGGAGCATCTGTATAGGAGAAAGTAAGCAATGAGCTCACTTAACAAGTGCCAGACTGCATGCTGGCTGGCAGTTCCAGTTTTGTAATCCTCTAAGGAGAAAAGCAAAATTCCAGACATAGATGTATGTAGCTCTCAAATCAACTGGGAGGCAGGATAAGAATTAGCAAGGAAAGAAAACTGGCTACAGAGAAACATTTAGGAAAAGTATTGTTGATGTGATGAGGGAAAACATTAACTTTTTTTTCCCCATTTCAGCCATTAGTTGGTGTGTGGTCTTGCAGACAAACTTTTCTACTTACCTAATAGCAGATTCCCTTTTTCTTGTTGCATCTGTAATATGCACTGGAAGGGTGTTGGAAGAGAGAGAGGAAAGTGCAGTCAAAGAACGACTTTTTTGCATTGAAACTTTGGAAAGTTGATGAGAATCCTGAAAGAAATGGAACTTTATTCAGTGTGTTTGTTCACAGCATATAATGTCCTCTGTTCTTTGTCTACTAGAGAGAACAGTCGGAGGTATGTGGGCAGTGCACTCATTCTTCTCTCTTCCACCAGTATGGATTTACATTGGGAGAGGCTGAGGGGTGAGAGGGAAGGAGACTTGGTTAGGAGTATGGAAGGGTGGCTGAGCTTAGCTGCCAGAACTCATCTATTTGTGTAGAACTTTGTTCTCTGCTTTGTCCTAGAATTCTGCAGTACTCCTAAGGCAAGGGCAGAGGTCTCACTAAAGCATGTGAAATATGCATAAATAAATGCTATACATTTAAGAACTTTCCAACTTGATCACAGAGAAAAGTACCACAGAAATATCTGGTCATCTCACCTTTATCCTTTCATTAGCCTGCTTCTGCCTGCTACGGAGATTGGAGGTTCGTAGCTTGAACGGCTTATTACGAGTTGCCTCTTTGACTTCTTGTCTTCTTACTGCTTCCCTCTGAAATGCCCAGTAAAGTTCTTCAAAATCTGGTATTGTTGGATTAATCCTTGGTGTGAAGCTGAAGCTATTGTCCTGCAAGAAGCCAAGTTTTTCCTGCTTAGTTTTAGTGGCAGTTCGGGACTGAGGCTTCCTCCGACAGTTGCTGGTATCTATAGGAGCTACAGAGCTCTCAAGCAAATCCTTGGCTCTCATCTGAATGCGGATTTCTCTGTAGAGTTCAGCTTCTAATGAATCAAGAACAAAACAATGAGAAGAATATGAGTGACATAAAAGACTGCCAAATTGTCACTGGACAACTCTAAACTTTTCTTTATGATGGCAGCCACTCACAGAAGAGAGAACAGGCATCTGGTGTTCTCTTTCCACACTTTCTACCTCCTCTTTCCTCCGCCTCCCAGGAAAGAAATTTGAAGGAACATGAAGAACCATGGTCGTGTCTCATTCTTAGGCATTAATCTCTAGCTATCTCTTTCCCTTCTCACAGAGTAAGTTACTGAACTGGCCTTCTCCTCCTATTCCTTTTCTGAGGAGTAGCAGGTAATTGTGCCCTTGTCTTGGAGATGTGTTTTTTTTCATATGAAACTGATGTGTGATCCTTGGGTAGGAGTAAAATTACCAGTTCCAAGATACTGCATGGACCTTGGATACTTCTGGCACTACATCTGTTCTCATGCTTGAACACACACACATCATGCAAGTGCCTTTAGTCTAACTAAAAGCATGGAATTCAGTTCAGGGAAGGATTCTCAAACTACCACAATATGCAGCAAAAACAGCACAGAAACCTGTCTGAAGAGCTCAATGTACCCACGTGTGTTTGGGAGTAGTGCAGAACTGCCACAGCTGACACCACCACAAGACTGCTAAATTTAGGGCATTCTATTTTAAGGGTCTCGAGATGAAATGTAATGAGTGGTGCTACACAGGAGACCAGACAATACCAGAGGAAGTAACAATATTGGCTTTACACTCCCAGACAGTAAGGGACAGTCAAGGAGCTGTTTTTCCAGGAAGAGCCCTGGCACTTTACCTTTGAGTTTATCTCCAAGAAGTGGGTCATAAGTGGATTTAGGAACTTTTCGACTGGCTTGCTTCGGTTTGGAGCTCTCACTTGAGGTTGCTGCTGCCAGGAACTTCTGTCTGATAGCTTCTTTCTTTTTCTCCTCCTTCTCCAGGAAACTGAAGGGCCGCTGAGTGGAAAGCAGCAGCTCCTTTCTTTTCTGTGTTGCTATTTGCCTGCGAATCTCATTCTGTTCCATTATTTCAGTGATAAAGGGGTAGAAACACGTGGGCAGGTACAGGCTGTGCCCGGAATTGTTTCTGACATTCAGCTTCATCCTGGCTTTGCCTTTTGTCTCTTGGTTTGTCTAGTTCAAGAAACAGGTATGACTTCATCAGCTGGGACTTTTTGCGAGCTTCCCGCAGCGTCATTTTGAAGGGCTGAGGGATGGTGATGGAGGGAATCCAGGGAGAGGAAGCACTTTTTGGCCTCAGGCAGGATTTAGGAAACAAGGGAGGTTTTTGCTGATCCCAGGCACTGTCCGAGGTGAGGTCAATCAAAGACCTGGACTGTCTTTTGTTACCAGATGCACGACTAAGACAAAGACATTATGAAGGGGAAAATAGGGGAAATTATTACAAATTAGAAATAAACGATGGGAGAAAGACAGACCTAGGCCTTATCATTCTCAGGCTTCGTATTTTCCTTTGCTACTTAAGTTCATGAGCACGGCTTTGCTCATACTCAGTTTTCTACACACGGAATGGCAAATGTGACTACCTGGACCTCTAACACCACTCATTATGCTGGTACTGTGTTGCTGGTGAGGCTGCGGGTTAACCAGGACACTCTGGCTTCAAGGATACTCGGGAAGTGGCCGTTCAACACCACAGAATCACGAGAGTTAAGCAATAAGCTAAGCACCCAGGCGCACCTCACCAGCCCTCCTGGGATGTTTGGGGCTGCCAGGGGAGCGGGTGAGACGCTGAGGGAGGGATCAGACACAGGGCAAGCGAGGGCTGAGGTGAGGCGGTGAACACGGAGCGCAGGAGAAGAGGGAGATGGGGACAGGGCCCGGCTGCTGCCCACCGCGCCCGCCAGGCGGAGCCTCCCGAGGGGGGACCCTACCTGGGCGCCCCGGCCGCCGGCTGCGAGACGTCCCCGAGAGCCTGGGCCGGGCCCCTCCGCCACGGGCCGTGCCCGCTGCCTGCTGCCGCCGCCGCCCGGCCCGCGCCCTGCGGCCCCGCCATCGCTCGGCGCCTCGGGTCCCGCCGCCACCTGCAACACAGAACCGCCCTCAGCGGGCTGCGGCCCCAGCAGGGCGCCCCTCAGCCCGGCCCTGCCCTCACCTGCGGGCCGCCGCCGCTGCTTCAGCTCCCAGCGCGGCTCCCGCCAATCAGCGAGGCGTTGCGGCGCCCTAGCCCCGCCTCGCTGCCTCAGCAGCCAATCAGGCTTCAAGGCGGGCTGCCCTCCCCGCGCGCTCATTGGTGCTGAGGGAGAGGTGTTCCCTCGGGGAGCGGCGCCGTTGCCATGGTTGCCATGGCCGCCATGGCGGTAGCGGGCGGGGCGGCTGGCCGCCATTTCCACAGCCATGGCGGCGGCCTGCGGCAGGGCTCTGCTTGCTCCGCTCGGCCGGCGGCGGGCCCCGCTCCGCTCCTTCACCGCTCCTCCTCCTCCTCACCCTCCTCCTCCTCCTCCTCCTCCTCACGGCCCCGCCGCGCCGCTCTACGATGTGGTGGTGTCGGGCGGGGGCATGGTGGGCAGCGCCATGGCCGCCGCGCTGGGTAAGGCCGTGACCTTCCTGCGGGCGGCTGTGGCGGGCCTCGGCGGAGCTCCGCTTTATTTATTGTTTTACGTAACTTGTGCTTTAAGTCGTCTAGAATACTTCGTAGTATTTGTGTCAAATATTCGCCCTCAGATCGCCGATGAATAATTTCAGCTGACAGGAGTGCTGTCAGTTCGGGGTGATTTACTCTGTACTTGAGTAATCTCTTCATTTTTATTTTTTTTTCAGTTTTCTTTAAGTATGTGGGAATTCTAAACTGCCTGTGCTATTCCACTGTCAAAATATAAGAACATAACCAACACCAATGCGCTTGCTAAATACCATGGGAGTTTAAATTTTTGTTCTAGTTTCTGTTGTTCTAGTTAGTGAATTTATACTTAAGCTCTGAAAACATGTTCTGTACTTGTAGAATTAATTCATTAGTAATGGACTTTCATAACAAAATTGCACAAATTTGTGCAAAAATGAAAAATTTGTACAAAAAGTAAAGGTTTAATCCTTGCTTTAACTGCAGAAGGGTTGTCAGTTCAGAGTTACAGGGTTGTAGCCTATAAAGCTTCAAAATACTAACATACACCTGTGTATTCAAAACCTGCCCTGTAAATGTGTTTCTTCATGGGGTTTAGTTTGAATTCCTTCTTCTTACAAAAATTCATAGGCGTTATTGACGTAGAAATGAGAAAAAGGCCTTTTGGCAGAAGCATTCTAACAAAGCGTATATTTGCTTCCTTTAGGGCATGATATCCACTTCCATGACAAGAAAATCGCTTTGCTGGAAGGCCAGTCCTAGGAAAGAATATGGTCAGTTGCCAGAGAAGTTCAGTAACAGGGTCAGTTCCATCTCCCCAGGGTCAGCGACCCTCCTAAGCAGTAAGTGTAATTTCTATTCTTCGTGTTTCTAGCAGTATGTTTGAACTGTTTTTATTTTGTTTAAACAAAACCCCCCTCTGAGGATGCATTGCCTTCATCCTAAACAGGATGGGGTTGCTTGGCTTTGTCTCTTAGTATTCTAAGTACTGAATTGCCATGGTTAAATCAGAGTTTTTATCATAACGGGGATTCATGTTCTGGTATCTTGGTCTGGTTGCTTATATAAATATATATAATGCAAATGTTTGTGTTGTTAGGCTAGCAAAAGGTTGTAAGGTGCTCTCTACAGCATCTGGAATACTCTGTTCACAAAATAAGCACGTTTCCCATGTATTTAGTGCTCTGTAGTCTGGTAACTCCTGATCACAACACTTCTGATAAATGTTAATTTCAAAGGCAGATTGCCTTGAATCAAAGGCCTTGATTCCTTACGGAGAAAGAAGTATTATAAACAGTGGTTATGAATGTCTGTGTCTGTTTTGCTACCCAGTGACAGTTGACCATATAAGTCACAGCACTCAAAGAAAACTCATGTCTTTTCTAGTGGCTTGTGTTAATAGCAAAATAAGTAATGTGGTGCTTGTGCTGTAAAAGTACTGAGGCAGAACTGCCCCTGTTTAGGGATGGTGAAAGTCTGGGCAAGCTGGAGAGGAGTTAGTGGCTCATAGGGAGAGAGGAGGAGAGCATGGAGTGAGCTTCAGCTTTGTTTGGGTCTCAGTGTCACTTGTAACCCTGTGTCCCCATGCATTTGTGTCTTTCAGGTTTTGGTGCCTGGGATCATGTCTGCAGCCTGAGATTCAAACCGTTCCGGAGAATGCAGGTGCCATACTCAGGGATGGGAATGTCCTGTGTGTTTGTCTGCTTTGAATTCTCAAACACCCGAAGTTTGTTTATTTGGCAAAGGGCGGGCCATGCTTTTCTGTGAGGAGATACCTATCAGAGTCTTGATGTCACAGGATGAAAACTTGATTCCTAATGGAAGCTGTAGATATGGAGACATGGGTACTAGTCAGGAAAGCCAGAAATAAAGGTAAAGGTGGTAGGGTAGTATTATATGTTAATTGTGTAACAGTAGTCCAGGACATTTCCTCTAGTCATGTATTTCTAAATTGACATACCCTTTGGCTGTTAAGATAGACATGTTCATGCTCCATAAAAGGAACTGCACTTATTTATCACATAGCTTCATACCATGTATTTTTTCTTTGCAGGTATGGGATGCTTGTTCAGAGGCCATCATTGTTTTTGAGAAAGATGACTTAGATGACATGGGTTACATAGTGGAGAATGACGTCATTATGTCTGCTCTCACAAAACAGTTAGATGCAGTAGCAGGTAGTGGACAACTTCTTTAATATTTTATTGCCTGCAGAGAGCTTTCAGTTACTTGTCTTTTGCTGTGTATGCTAATTTATGAGAGGAGAAAGAGAATTTGTCTAACAAATAACTCTGGAACATGGGCAACTTTTTGTCATGGGGTGGAGGGGAGGAAAAAATCTGTCTTCCATAGGCTACAAAGCATGAAGACAATTGCATATGTACTTCTCCAGAACATAGTCTCTTCAAAATGAGATTTAATGAAAAGGTCTGTAGCTTTCTGTCCGGAGCAGACTTAGCAGTGACAAACCGTTAGCCAGATCTGTTCTTTTTGAGTGCCTAGAGAATTGTAGGGTCAGTTCTTAGGGTGCCATTAAGACACGTGTGGCCCTTTGCTATTGTAGTGATGTTTCCTTTTTTCATGTCTGTATCATGCTGTGACCCTGGTACTTTGTGTTCCCGCCAGACCGGGTGGAGGTTTTCTACGGGAGCAGAGCAGTCGGGTATACCTGGCCCTTTCCCTCTCACAGCTGTGACACAAGCCCTTGGGTCCAAATTGAGTTAGCTGATGGACGCAGACTTCAGACCAAACTGCTGGTAACTAAACTTTTTATTTCTGTTGATCAGGCATCATCTCTTGCCCAAGTCCTTTCCACTGGATTTGGTTCTGATTCCGTGTGTGCCGCTCCACCCAAGTGGAGGGCTTGAGTGAGGTGAGTGGCTAACTCTGTCAGAGCTGCTAAGGGACACAGTGCATAGCCTTTTCTGTACCTGATGCAAGAAGGTTATGAACTGGGCAAGAGCAGAAGGGGATTACTTCTTCTGTTTTGAGTGAATATGGATATATATTCTTATGTAGAAACAAAAAATATAAGCAAAAGAGGATTATAGACTTGGAATATTGGCTTTCTTAGGAGATGCTCAGGAGGTTGTTTTGCATCTCTGTTTCGCAGATTGGTGCAGATGGCCATAACTCTGTAGTCCGGAAGGAGGCTGAAATTCAGAACATCGAGCATCGGTATGACCAGTCAGCGGTGGTGGCAACTCTTCATTTGTCTGAGGTGAAATTCTGCAGACTCTCTTCCATAAGCAGTAGAACAGCTTAAGCAGATGATGCTAGATCACTAGTTCTTAACTGTCCACTTGCTTCTTTCCACTGTAGGCCACAGAAAATAATGTAGCGTGGCAAAGATTCCTTCCCACAGGGCCGATTGCGCTTCTTCCGGTAAGATGCCTTGTGGTCTCTGTTTTTTACCTCTGTTTTTATTTTTTTTAGTCTGTTCTTATAGTAACTTTTCTTCTGCCTCGCCTTGCTACCTTCACTCTATTCTTCTGCCTTTTACTTTTCATTTATTAAAGTTATCCTTGCAGTGGTTGCTTTTTTTATTTGTTTATTTTTCTTGTTGATACTTACCCTTGAAATTCTCTTAAACCAGCTGTCTGACACTGCCAGCTCTCTGGTTTGGTCTACATCCCATGAACACGCATCAGAACTTCTCACTATGGATGAGGAAAGTTTTGTGGATAGCATCAACTCTGCCTTTGTGAGTATCAGCCTTGCAGCAGGTATGGGGGTGACTGTTGTAATTGTGAAAAGTACAATGGAATCCTACAGCTTAAAGGATAGCAATAGGAAAGGTGGATTCTCAAGTTTCTTCCTCTGGTGGGGTTGATATTAAAAGGACAGTTAGCAAAGGAAGGATGACCCTTTGGCCATTCTTCTATGTTAGTTCTGAAAGGCACTGGAGAAGTTGGATTGAATTTCTGAAAGATGGGAAGAGTAGACTTATCCTAGTTGGAAGCTTACATGTCCTAAAGTGATGAAGGTTGTTTCTTCTGCTGCATATTTTTGTCCAGGTGGTTAAAATTCAATATTTGGAGCTAGTTCATTTTTTTTCTACTGGGTTCTTTTTTATGTCTCATTTGGGTTAACATCTAACGATCTCTCTTCATTTGTTTGCATGTTTCAGTGGAGCAACGTAAACCACACTGACTTCATCGACACTGCTGGGGCCATGTTTCGGTCTGCTATTTCATTCCTGAAACCCTCGGGGACTGCAGTCCGTCAGCTGCCCCCAAGCGTCGCTAAAGTAGACCCAGAGAGCCGAGCCATGTTCCCCCTTGGAATGGGGCATGCAACAGAGTATGTCCAGCACCGCGTGGCTCTCATTGGGTAAGGTCCCCGCTGGGTGAGTGGGTGGCATGTGGTTAGAAATGATGTGAGCATAGTGACTCCCAGTTAACAACAGGGTGGTTAGAAATACAGCTATACTTGCAGTTTGACTTTAACCACACCTCGTTTATATCATTTGCTCTTGTGTCAACAAAACCCTTTGGTGTGAGGAGCTTTTTGTGTGCTTCCTATGTAAATTGGGTGATAATTATTTTTCTTTCCTGGTTTGCGTAGTTCAGCAAAACAATGCAGCATCTCATGAAGTTGTACTTCCCCAACGTTGTAGCAGTCATTCTGTGTACCAGTTTGAGTTTTAGCTCACTTTTCCTGAACACAAATGACTAGACTTACAGATAATTCTGGATAGAATGTCATAGGCCTTTGTACAGTGATTTATAGAAAGAGGAAAATACCACAGTGTTTACATTCTAAGGCTGAATGTACTCTTCTCCCCCACAGCTGCAGTACCTTGCTAGTTTATAGTAATTCTTGGATGCCACATTGCCTTTCAGATACTTTCCTTCTTTCCAACTTCTGAGTCACTCTGTGCTTACGAGCACACTGTGCTTTATATCTCATTAATGTTTTAAATGTGTGGTCTTACATTTCATAATCAAATTTTATTTCTTTAGGAAATGTGTTAGATTTTGTTCTTTACAGATAACCCAATTTTGATTTTATTGTAAGTAGACTTACTTTCATAGATAAACCACTATCTTGTGTTCACGATGGCTGTCTACTTTGTGTTGTGAAATGTGACACATCACCTCACACCTGATCGAACTATTGTGAGACAATAGTTCACCCCTTTTTCTTGCACCTTTGAACTGGAGAGATAGTCAGGTAGTTCAGCATAGCATACAAGGAGAGGTACTGGTTAAAGTTGCATATGCTGCTCTAGGATCAATTTCATTGCAAAGAGTTTGACAGCCTTTTGACTTTCTTCAAGAAAGGGTCTAAATTTCTGTCTTTTCTTGCTCTAGGGATGCAGCACACAGAGTCCACCCACTTGCAGGACAAGGCGTAAACCTGGGCTTTCGTGATATTGCGTGCTTAACTCATCACCTCAGTGCAGCAGCCTTCAACGGGCAAGATCTGGGTAAGGATCCATGAGGTGTCAGTGAGATGTTTACTCTTACAAGCCTTTGTTGGTAATATCAGGACAAACATTGTCTCTGTTTGCAGGCTAAGTATGCTGCTATTTTGCGTTTAAAAGGCACAAGCATTTTTGAAGCAAAACTGTTGGATGCATTTTCCGTCCTTAAAAACCTCAAAGATGCTTTAAACACACAGAAGGATGGTAGTTAAAGAGGTGGTGAGATGAAGACCACTGGCTGATGGAATGAGGTCTTTATTAAGATAGACCATTTCTCTGTTGTTTCTGTGGTTTTCAGTTGTCTGTGGAGACTGATATATAGACAAGATGCACAACTTCTTCTGGCAAGACAGTTTTAATATGAATATTCAATTATCTCTTCCAGGATCCTTAAGGCATCTCTTAAAGTTTGAGACAGAACGGCAGAGGCACAATGTCTCCTTGATAGCTGCTATTGATATATTGAAGAGGCTTTACTCCACGAGCCTGGCTCCCTTGGTGTTGCTGAGGACATGGGGATTGCAAGCAACAAATGCCCTGCCTCCCATCAAAGTAAGATTCTTACTTTAGTGAGGGCTGTGCAAAGATTCCAGAATTGCTCAAGTGTACACAAGCTGTTGAAGTAAAGAAAAACACTTTTTGGTTGGAAAATAACTTCTTCAAACTGAGGTTTTATGTTGTAACGAGCCTGAGGATTTCCTAAATAATTTGTGGCTCAGTGGTTTTAAGTTTCTCCTGCAGCGCAGGGGAAGATGAAGGATCTGGGTGTCTGCTGTACCTCGGTAATTATGGGTTAAATGTCACGAGGAGTCTCTGGCTTTATTTTGCTACGGAATGCAAACATGAAACTTTGAACTGCATTCCAGAAAGGCACCGTGAAAAAACAGCCCTACAAAAAAACAAATCTTTACTAAAGAGCAAGACATCGGGTGACTTGACAGACACAGTGTGCAGCTCAGACAGGTATCTGTTTCCCTGCTGTTCTGCCTTGTTGACTTGCACTTCAGCCAGGAGAGGACAAGTTTTTAACGGAGGTTACCTGAGGAAGGTGTTGGCAAGCAGGTTCAGTCTTAAACGCAGAACCTCTATTTGCAGCCAACCTCCTTGAATTTTGCTCAGTCTTAACTTAGTTGTTGGACTGTCGTGATGTTCATTCATGTATTCTCAGAGCTCCCAAACACCCTCAAGTTAGATTCTTTATTTCTGGATTTGACTGTTACGGCACAAATCAAGTCAGCTTCTTTCCTATTAAGTACAGGTGGCAAGTTTCCTATGTCATGTCACAGTGAGACACTAGGCTGAACTGAAGAGCAGTTACTTCAAGATGGAGCAGTTGCCACTGGCAAGGTGTCTCTATTAGTTGTACTAAAAAGAATGACACCCTGCTGCTTCAGGGCTCAGCATTTTTAGTTTCTTTGTTTAAAGCAGAAAAACAGATGAAGGCCTCTTTTTCTAAGCTCAGAATCTATCGGTTGCATCTCTGCTTTGTGCTATTTGAGAAGGAACAGGATTCTGCAATTTCTTTAATTTTGTTGCATATATGGGTAGGTGCTCTGCACTTGACAAAAAAAGGCTGACAAGGAACTTGTCCTTGTGGAGATGGGAAGGAGACTATAGCTGCTTTCTAGAATGTACACATCTGTACCAGTTTACAAATTACTTTTCTTTTTCCTCCCCCATTTTAGGAGCAAATCATGGCTTTTGCCAGCAAGTGATCTGTTTTCAGTTTGGAACGGCAGCTTGACAGTGAGTGCATTACCCTTACAAAGACTGTGACTGTTGTGAATCTTCGAATCGTGTTATTTTAATTTAACAATAAAAATGAGGGATTGAGCTGTGTTTTACACCATCCACTGGTTTATGCAGAACTTGTCTCATCTGCTCTCCTCAAGAAGATTTAGGGTTTCTTCCTATAGTACGTGGTCTCTTAAGCCACTGAACTGTCTATGCAATGTGCTTTTAATTTGTGCCTTCTGAATATAAGACTGAGCTGGAAACAGCTTTCTGGGTTATCTCCTGGCATATGCAGTGCTAAATTTTGCTAGTTACAAATTTTGCTGCTTAATTACTTTCAGTTTTCCCTGATGTGATTTCTGGAAGTGTTATTTTGTTTCTGGGTTCTTACCACTTCCTGGACTCAAAAAGGAGGGGTAACTTGCAGCAGCAGAGAGCCACCTCCCGATGGTAGATACCTATGTTTTAAAGTTCTAATCTGTCTCCTTCACTTTTCCCCCTGCCACTCCCTTGGTGCTTTATTTAATAATGGTGTTTCTTGGTTAGTCTTAAGGGCTCTCCCATAAAAAAAAAGAGATGCAAGATAACATCTAGGAAAGAAGACATCACCACAAAGTTATGAATATTGTTAAAAATGCTTTAATTACTAAAATAGAAATTCAAGATATTCTGTCTTAGGTTCCAAACACCAGCCTCCTGTGTTAGACATTTGAGACTCACAACGTTGAGTGAGTACTGCTACTGGGCACAATTTACATGTACAGTTAACCAGTATCAGGAATTAACACCACAAAGAATTCAACATAAGTTTTTGACTGAAAACCATTACTTGTGCTTCTTCAGTCACACATACTAGTCAGTTCCTGTTAGTGAGGATAAAAGACGTTACGAAGGAGGAGATAAAAAATCAGTGATGCAAGCAAAACTCTTCCCTTAAAAGGCTGCTTAGTCTTTAAACAAATAAATAATCTCATTGCACTAGGGTAAGTGTGAGGATGTGACTGGCTTCTCTATATCCTCAACCCACCTTTAGTAAGTAAGATGTAAACAGCAGGGGCCCAATTCTGCAGTTTCTTGCAAAAGAAACTTTGAGCTGAGTTCTTGTTTCTCTTATGACTACAGCATCAAGCCCCTGACAGAGAGCAGCAGTTAAGCTTCAGTTAATGAATTGTGCCACTGACAAATGAAGGCCCTGAGCATTCAGATTTAATGCAACTTTGGTACGGGCTAGCAGATGCTCCCACCTAAGATTCGTAGTACCAGAGTTTGAGGCAAAGAACACAGAGAACAGAGAAGAAGCTTACTCTACATGGTACCTATCTTGTTCTGGGCATCCTCCCTGCAGACAAAACCACACCTCTAAGTACTCCTCAAGGCTCATGTATATTCAGTTGGCAGATACACTGCTGCTTGTGCTTTACGTGTGATATCCCACTGTGCCATACTGTTAAGATCTAGCCTCGCTGCATATGGCTCTTGGCCCCAAGAACTAGTAAGCGGGTTTGTCGTAGCACTGGCTCAGACTGGAAGGCTTTTAGATTATTACATGAGTTAACTTTCAGGAGTAACGCACCTGCCAATTAACCACTGCAACCTTCTTTGTATTTTCCAAGAATGCAAAGGTGAAGAAAAATGTTCACTCAGAAGAAAATGAACATGTTTTCAGTCACCTTGTTGTTGAGACCTGACTGTATACTAAGTTTTGCCAAATATTAAAGCGGGGAAGAAGAAAGGTTTGTGTTTGAGAAGAGGCCAGCATTGCAGCTGGACTCCACAGTTAACTTTCCTCGTGTTAAAACAGAAGCTCCTAGTGAAGATGGAACAGAAGTTTGGTCTGGCACTGAGGAATTTCCCAACATGGATCTCTTAACAGATTTTGGTAAGGAGCATAGGTAGGATGTTCACTTCATGTTTCAAAGAAACAGTCTGAATTTACAGCAAGCTGTCAGGTGGGACAGGTACAGGCAGCTCCATCCCCACCCTCTGGACCCCCCTATTGCTGACTAAACTTGTTCACTCAAAAGCAGGCCTTGTATCCTAGTGCCATGAAACCTGAGATACAAAAATAGGGTAATTTACTCAGTCATAGTCAAATTTGCACTGCTAACAAGGAAGAGGACTAATGTTCACAGTAAGGCAAAGTTCTAAGTCTCCACTGCTTGGCAAGATTAACATCCTTGGTGCGTTAGGATGTGAGTGCACTAGTTCCTCCCCTGGCTAGGCATTACCAGTTATTTTCAAATCCAGTTTGCAGAGAAGGTACTGTGAGGGCAGTCTTGTGTTTTACAGAACTGGAAAAGGTGTGTGGTAGCATATGGGTAGGTGCAAATGCCTGACAGGAACAAAGTGTTCGTCACAAGACATGGGTGAGTAAAAGCTTCGCTTAGTCACAGGGTAATACCTCTCTCTTCCTAAAACTTGGGTAAATTTATCTTTAAGTTACATGTTCTGTGTTGAAGAGAAGATGGTCATAGCAAAGTGAGCTGTTACTAGATCAGACGTTTCATCTGAACGCATCCTTAATTTCCTTGTGGGTATAATGCGACCAGCATTTCTTTTGGCAGTGGAGTTTAAGTATCTGGCAGTGGTGACTAGTTTTGTGCCAGCACAACTGTGTGTTATGACTAGATGGTAAACGAACCAAGTTATCAGGTCTGATTGGCAGACATACTGTATGGCTCCAGACTTACAAACGGCAGCACAAAGGTAGGAACACAACAGTAGGTCACACGTGCTGTTTAAGAAACTCCTGCTGCCTAAAGAAATATGTGGTATGGTACAACCTATGTTTCAGCCAATGCCTTTCTGAAAATCATACCCAAGGAGTGCTTATAGCAGGCCCCTTGAAAGACTGGAATCTTCCTGCAATGTATTAGCTAACCTAACAGCTGGATATTTGGAACACTGAGGCTGGAAGCATCCAGAGTTGTTCAATTTCCTCTGAATGACTGCTGGTGCCATCTTTAATTCCTGTATGTCTCCCAAGCAAGCATCAATTCTGTATGCCTTAAAATAAAAGGGAGGAGAAATCACGTGTCTGTAGTTTACCACCATGTGCCAGGTATACTGTGCTTTTAGCAATGGGATGCTATACAAATGTGCTGGTGAAAGCTGGCTTTGAGCCCCTTGCAGATGCTCTGCTGGAGTTTAGGCTTTTTGACTTTCAAAAGGCAGCTTCTGGATCATTTACGACAATTACAATTATAGATTACTTATAATTTCATTATGTGTGATGCCACTCCCAGGTGAAGATCTGTTGCATAGCTTTGGTCCATGCTATACTCTGTGACTGATTCCAGCTGAACAACATACCTGGAGATTTCAATTTGCTTTCTCAAACTCTGAGGAATGCTGAAGTCCACAGGAATGTCTCAGCTCAATACGTTATCCCCAGAGACTGCAGTAAGTGAAAGGTAGCACCCAAAGTCCAGCTTGTCTCTATGTTGTTCACTTTCTTTGTTAACTATGAAGGAAGAAAAAGTAGTTCTCAACAGTTTTCTAGAGTTGTAGGTTGCACAGATAACAGCAACTACAACATAATAACACTGGAAAGATGTGGTAAATAGTTAGCCAGAGAAAGGAACTAGCGTATGTTGATTGTTAAAGAAAGAGGAAAGACAGTTTTAGGATTTAAATCTTTTTCTTACCTGTAAGAGTGTGTTGTCCGTAAATCCAAAACCTTCCTTTAATAAAGCAGTGATGTACGTGAGATCCATGCAGAGGAAAGGACTTGCTGAGTTGTACCTCTCCATGTTATCACATACTAAAGAAGGAAATAAAAAAAAACTTAGCAGAATAAAAGAGCTTTTCTCTACATTATACACTTAAACTGCCCTCAACCTAAAACCTACTAAATCAAGCCACCCACTTCTATTAATGAGTACATATAATGCAAGATACATACTACTTTACCTTCTAGGCTGGCAGTTGTGGTTTTTTTTGTTTCTTTTGTTTTTCTTAATTTGCCCACCCATGCTAGTAGCATGAGAGGGAAGAGGCTATTGCCCAAACAACCTCTCAGTCACTGGAGCTGATTCCACACTAATGTTTAAGAACACCTATCCAAAATCATCTGAGTTTCTAGGGAAATTATCTGAAATATCACTGAACTGAGGTGCTATTTTAGAAAAAAATCTGTCCTAACCTACATAACTAAGCATATCTGATGACAAAGATGGCCTACTATTGTCATAAGGATGATCATAATTGAGAGGTACTATCTTACCCTGTAGCCTAAAGGTTTAGCCATAAGTAGCATGGAGAGTTCTTTTAAGGAGGAGGTTTAAACTAGAGCACGCATTCAGAAATAAGGTTGGGGAGGTAAGGAGATGCAGAGGAGGCTGTCTTAACTTAAACAATCTCTATTCTCTTTCTCTATATTGTTAGAGATTAAAAAGGACTTAGGGTGACAGACTAACAAGTCAGCATTCTGCTAAACTCAGAGTTGCAGTTTTACAGATGACCTTCATACAGCAATGATAGGAAATTTATGCCTCTTTGCACTGCCGTTTATCAGCTACCTCCCTTCGGTTATTTCCTGAACAGAATTGCAAAGTTGCTAGCACACTGTCTCTTGTCACTGTTCTTCAATACCTTCTTTTGCAGTAGTTAGAAGCGTTGGCTAACAAAAGGCAAGTAACAAGACATGGACATGTAAGTGGAATAAAGGCTAAACAGTCTTTTTCTGAAGCCGAACACATTAAGTACTGCCTTATGGACATAGGTATTTTCAGTGATCTCCCCACCAGTATCCCAAGTCTCACGTCAATTACCTTCTTTGGCTTTTCTTTCAAAATCTCTCACTTCCAGAACACCTCCCTGTTCATAATCTGAAAAAGAAGAGGTGAGAAAACATCATCATAGACCTGAAGACGTTTGAGTTGACTCTAAAGTACAACTCAGTGATGCTGTACTAGGAATGAAATCTGTTGGTAACAGGGAACAAAGCTGCAAGTCTAACTGGAGCTGAGAGCACAAGTCTCATCTGCCAAATTCTGAACATCAAAGCTACACTGAGGGATACGCGTTTATTCCCTGAATGCACTTGGTGCATTTCTTCTTTCTGAATACCTTGCCTTTGCCCTGCTCCCCACAGCTCGTCCCCGTGGTTCTACCTTCT